GTAAAGGCTTGTGATACATCGTACCCCGTGATACATCATACCCCACTTCCCCTTACCCCTATACTCTCGCGCCGCCCCCAGCCCCAGCAGACGTGTGAATGGCACCCCGTGGCACCCACCCGTGCCCTGCTCCCCATGCATAACATTGGGCGGGCACAGCCTTTTGTGAAAGGGAAGTGGCAGAGGATAAAGGGCGATATCAGTTCATGATTTCATGTCAAAGAGCGACGGCCGGCCAAAAAGAGTGGATGTATCCCCTGCCGGATAGGCAACAATTCCGCCCGGCCCGTGGAGTGTGGTAGCCTACAGTCTACCAGGGCGTCGTAACGTAACGAAACGCGTAACGAAAACGCATAAAAACGCAAATCAAATTGCAACTTTCATGCGTTATTGAAGTGTTTTCAAAGAAATTCAAGAGTGTCCTTATGTATAATACTGTACTCGCAGAAAGATGAAAACGATTCAAAAACGCTTCTAAGCTGCAATTTTACTTCCGTTTTAGTGCGTTTCCGTTACGCGTTACGTTACGACGCCCTGCAGTCTACCCAGAGTGGTCGGGGCTGTTGTAACCCCTGCCGGGTAGGCAACACTGCCGCCCGCCCGTGGTGTGCGGTACAGTCTACCCAGAGTTGCGCGGGCGTTTTCTCCCCGGTCGACCTCTCCTCAGTCATGGTATGGTGGGTGGGGTGGCTCTAACGTCCTTAAAATCTGAACTTGTTGACGTTCCGTAGTATGATATATACAGATGGGCAAAACACGAAAATCGCCTGGAAGGCGCATAAGGGAAAAGAGACGCAGATGAGTCTTATCACGGCGTTGCATGACGAAGACCAGCTGGGATCGCCGTCAGCTGTTGGGAGACAAGAGGAATATTTTTCCTCGGTGTTCTTCCCCTCCGGCAGCTTCACTGACCTTAGACCCAGTGCGGGGTTGAGTAAGTTGGCGCATAGCCCTGCAGAAGGGGAAAAGGGGGGGGGGCTGGCTGATAGAGCCTTTGATAGAGCCCGCCTCGCCTGGCTCCGGTGAAACGTCCTTCGCTAAACTCCTCTGTTGGCTCGTTCAATACAAACACGGCGCACCGGTGCGGCGGTCGGGCGCCAGTCTGTACCAGGCTCCCCTGAGCGCGGCGGCGGCAGCGCGACCCCCCGGCTCCGGCTGCCCCGCCGCGGCGCACAGACATCGGGCATCCGGTGCACGACGACGAAGGGGGAGCAGGAGGAGGGTGGCGACCGCCTGTCGCCCGGCGCTGCGTGTACGGGGTGTGCGCTACGCTCTCGAGCAGATCAGCCCCCCGGAGGATGAGGCCAGACCGGCCCGCCTCCGGACGACGCCCGCCCAATCGATATAATCAATGCGGTGGCGCAAGGCCGCGCGGGGCCGGCCAGGGCCGCTGGTGACATCATTGAGCTGTGCGCCGCCGGGGAGGGCGCCGCGGGGAAGTCCAGTCCACGTCCGCTGGCCGGCTGGGCTGTGGGCTGCACCGGCCCGAGGAAAGGGCTCAATATTCCATGAGTCGCGGGGCCGGGTCGTGGCGCGAGCTGTGTCACCATCGACCTGCTGGGCAACGCCGGTGTCGCAGTGGAAGAGACGGGAAATAGCCGGGAGGGTTAATGGGGAGGGACGCAAGAGGGAGGGCCGGCGGGGGTGCCAGCTGAGCAGGGCCAGGCAAGCTGCTGCCTCCCTGTCTATCCCGTCGTCTTAGTGGAGCTAGATGGGGCACCCACTGCAGACAGTCCAGAACAGTTTTCTACCCCACTGCAAGAAACAGTGTGTTGGAAACGGGTTTGGCACAGACACCACTTATATTAAATATTGGCGTTAAGTGACACAACTACAGAAGATTGGCAACTTTGGAAATTTAGTTTAATAATTCTGATTGAGGTATGAGAAAACAGGGAACTGACAAATAAAATATGTTGAAAAAATGGGTTTGAACATAAGCTGATCTGTCCCGGTTTAACGTTGGCATGCTGCCATGAGAGCAGCCACACTTTCAAAATCAATTTTTTCAGTGATATTTTTGGTTTTGATGTTTTCATCCTGGTTAGCAATAAAAACCATTTGCCCATCTTCCTTCCAGCCGTATTTTTTGATCCAATGACTCAGGGTTTGGGCTGCAATAGAATTGTTTAATTTAAACAAACACTTCACAAGACTTAACTAGATAGTTTAGGCAATTATTTTGAAAAAGTAAAAGGACTTACCATCAACACCACCTAATAATTCTGATAAGAGTGGTTTTTCAACTGTTTGGAAAGTGATGCCTACTACATGGCAAACAAATTTCCGAATGGAGTCAGCAAAACCAACTATCTGCAGGGACAAATCAGTCATTCCCAAAATGCGATTCCAGAAGGCTTGGAAGTCACACCTTTCCAAAATATCAGCTAAGTAGATAATTTGGTCCACAGGTTTCTCAGCACACTGTAAGACATGAAAAAGAAAATTATTCCTCTATTCAAGCACATGCTGTAAAACTTCCATAACAGTCTAAAACTGGCAGCCTCAGATAACCAAGTAATCGCTCTCGAATAGTTAATCATCAGTGCACTCAAGGCAAACTGATTCAAGAACCAGTCAGCCGAATGCTACGATTTGGCTAGATTACATCACAGACTTTCAGATAACTGCTACAAGATATCATTGTTAGTCTATAATGTGATTGATATTGATTCCAATACTCTATGAAAAAGCTACAAACCTGTTTTTCGCTGAGAAGACAACGACACAGAATGAAATCTGTGTGTGGGAAGTTAGTAAGAGCTTTCAGCAAAATTTTACAGGTGATATCCTTATTATATTTATGTGGATTGAACTGGTATAACTTGAGAACAGCAAGGTTGGCTTCCAGGTCATATGCGTTTTCCTGAGATTGCATACCCACATATCGCTCTAATGTTGGCAGATTCTCTGGGTTGTATCTGTAAATCAAAATAATACCAATAAGCCTCCTTGATAGCCCAGCAAAATAACTTCTTTCTAACAGAAGAATAAACAGCGTTGTGGGCAGAAAGAATTTTTGGTAACTATGACATTTAAAGGAAAGAGAAATAATTGATGATAATGATCCAAAGAACATAGCTACTTTCTGATAAAAGGGGGCATATGCTGACATGTGAAGATGAAAGTTAGGTTATGATTTGAATGTCATAACGGATACCAACAACGTTATAACATTGCCATCAAAGGTACCTCATACAATAAGAGTGGTAACAGAAGGGCTAAATGTCAACTTGGGTCCCCTCGAAATTGTAATGAATGGGCTAATTACCTTTCGATACCCTTAAGCATATTCGCCACTTGCTGCCGCATTGCTTCCGCCATCTTGCTAGTTTACGAAGTGTCTTCCAAAAAGTGAATGGCTGGGCTGACGAGGGAGCCGAGCCGGTAAAGGAGCAGAAATGACCGGAAATGACCTGAACACGACAAAAGAAAGCTCAAAAGTTTCTGCAAACGAGCACTAGTAGAGGAGAGGGTACTAGCGAGCTGGCCCGAATGCACGGTGCCGAAACGCAGAACGGAGTTTTAAAATGAGAGTTCTGGTTCAAGAACAGACTTGTTCAACGTATAGTCTAAGGTTTGAACTACTCAACGAGCACTCTCATATTACCAATAACGTTCCGGTTTAAAATATGTTCAAACTATAAAAACACCCTTGTGCGTATGTCAAGGT